CCTATATTAAATATCCCATCTTCCAACTTTCTTACCATTTTTATATTAACCTTTGTAAGTTACTTAATTATATTTATTAAAATTATCTGATATTTCCACCCAATTACCTAACTTAAGTCCATCACCTGCTTCATCATATTAACCACCACCACTGAAAGACACTTTAATACAATATATATTACATTATAATAAATGGTTCATCTACATCAGGCCTATATTAAATATCCCATCTTCCAACTTTCTTACCATTTTTATATTAACCTTTGTAAGTTACTTAATGATATTTATTAAAGCCATCACTCAATTCTTACCATTCTCCATTCTTAATTCCATTTTTATAAACCCCACCACCTCTTTGTTATTTTATAATATAATAGTTACATCTTGTTATATTCAAAAAGAAACTTCCAGACACCATTTCTTTGACCGCTCACATACTCACCTTTTTCAAGCACTTACGCTTATCTATTAATTAATATTATTTAATTCACTTCTAATAATTTTTCGCCAAATCTATCCAATAACCTTATTTTTCACCATTATTAGAGTACTCTCCACCAACATCCTATATTTTTTCACCTCTCCATATTATGATCCATTTGCCTATCTACTTATTATTATCTCCATATTGTCCAAACCATTTAAGATTTTAGATTTATTCTAAATTAGTTAAAATTTCAGGATTCTTTGTTATGTCTATATTTTTATCTCTAAGTTAATCTTAAAGCAATTTTACATTCTTAGCCTAGATCCATCTCTGAAATATTCAATTTCTTTGTCCAATGTAAAGATGATTTGGAGTGGTATTGTTTGTTAAAAAGGTGGTTCAAAATTATAATTCCAATAGATTCCTCTAAGTTGTTGGGTGCCTTCTTTCCATATCAATTACTCTTTCTTTTCAATCCTATTTGAAAATGTTGTTAAATTATACCGAAACATCTATAAAATCTCATTCATTTCTTGTTTAAATTTTTCATTGAAAGTTTTCACTTCTTTTTCTAGCCACTACTTTGCTTTATCCAATTTCGACACATAAGAAATCTTTTTATAATTCCAATCATCTAAAATTCTCCCATTCTGTATTTACACTAGTTTTTCCAAATCATTATAAGAAGATTCTGCTAAATTTTCATTTTTTCTGATGAGATTAATGTAAGAATTATTTTCTTACTCGATCATCTCATAGATCAATTTAATTGAAGATACTAAATCTTCCCATAACTTCTTCATAAATGCTTCAGTTTCAGATAGCAGTTATTTGAAGTTTATTTTCTATTTAATTAATTCTGATGTATCCTCCAACTGATTTTCTTTCAATTTCTTTAGAAGCATTTCATGAAATTTGTTAATCAGAACTGCTTGTTTAATCTCTACTCCGTGTTCATAAAGACATTCAACACACATCTTCCTTTAACATTAACACTTGTGTTCAGCCACACATACCAAAGATATTGGACTTCGAGGATGAGAAGTGCAAAACATAAACTTAAAAATAATAATTCCAATTTCTATTACTTTCTTCAAATATAAACCAAAAAAGTATCTTGTGTATTTTTATGAATATGAAGACTAGACTTTGTGAAGATTTGGAATTCATTGTATTTTATCTAAATCGGGTATTTAGGATACATTCCTTTTTTTTTAAGCTTATTCTTTTATAATATAGAAGAGGATTATAAATTTGTGAAATGAATACTAATTACATAATTTCATGTTATTTCAAAATTCTATATAATTTCTCCAAAGTGCTTTTTTTCAAATCAAATACAGTTATTATTATTTTTTGATCAAACATATAATTTTTTTTCTTTAGTCTGCTTATGTTCAAATATGAAACACTATTCTATCAAGCTTTATGAAAACTAATTATTATGAAATTCAAAAAAATTATGCTCTTTTGATCATTTTTTAATTTATTCTTAAGTCTTAAGTTTAGGATAAGGATTAATTATTTAAGAAAGACTCAATTAATTTAAATCGATAAATTTAATTGATTATTTAACGAAATTGATAGAAGATTATTAATAGATTTAGTTTTTACTTTTGAAAATAATATAAAAATTAAGGATTCATTTATCGGTACTTAAGATTTAAAGCCTTATAGCTTCGATGAAACCAAACTGTATTCAATTTTAATTTAAAATCTGTTATTTCTGATGCCTACATTAAGTAACAGTACAAGATTAAATGAGTAATTAGAAAATTGTCTAAGTAGAGAAATCGAAAAAGGATTAGTGTTATTAATTTAACTTAATGCCTTCATCATATTGATCCATTTGATTTATTTTTAATTAATTAAATAATTCTAAAATTATGACGAAAAGAATGTAAAATATATTAGAGAATTCATACACCTTTTTTATATACCTTAACAGAGTACATTCAAAAATATATA